GTTCAACAACATTTGACACAGTTGACACAACGTTTTCAGGTGCAACCCTCGTGAACGTCACAGCCTTTTCAGGTACAACCCTCACATATGGATCATGAACCATTTGGGATTCAACCACATCATGAGATTTGGGGGCAACAGGCTCTTGGAAATCCACTGCCGAAACATATGAACTTTGAGAGCCATGCGACCCTTTTTCATGCTCATGTTTTTCAACCCTTGACTCCTTGGCACTCATCCCCATATTCAACAAACCCTGCCGAAACTTTTCTTCAGCATCTCTCAAACAACGCAATCGGAACAGTTCTATTGGATCCATTTCAACATCAACACTTTCCCTTTGTTCCACATGAACTTTTTGGGGTGTCGACGCATTTGAACCCGGCTGCAAACCCAAGGCACTCACATCGTACCCAGGCCCGAATGCTTCTCGAACAGCTTCACGCTGCTGAGTTTCGCTCCAGAAGGGATTCACAACTTCCCCCATTTGGTCTGGAACCACAACAACATTTTTGCTACCCTGAGGCGCGACAACAACGGCTCCGGAGCCCTGAGGCCCATCACCTATGTAAAACCTTTGAACCCCTGAACCCTTCGCGGAGCCCTGAGGCATGGTTTCACTCACAACAACAGAACCCTTTTCAGTGAGGCCCTGCGACACATTTTGACAACCCTCAGAACCCCTCACATGTGAGCCCTGAGACACATTTTCACAACCCTCAGAACCCCTCACATGTGAGCCCTGAGACACATTTTCACAACCAAAACCCCTCATGCGTGAGTCTTGGGACACAGTTTCACAAACAGAACCCCTCATTCGTGAGCCCTGCGACACATTTTCAACACCCTCAGAACCCCTCACACGTGAGCTCTGCACATCCCGGTTTGAGTGTTGTGCTTCTGCGGCAACATTTTTCCTACCAGACTCAGAGCCAGACCCCTTTCCCTTGCCAGCACCATCTCTAGGACTATGTTCATTCACAATCCCCTGCACTGGTTCGGTGGTAGTTCTATGCCCCTCATTTGGTGGGTTTCCAGTTTGTTGCTCTGTCACAACGACCCTTTTGACACCAGGTGTGTTTTCAACATTCTGTTTCACCTCGAGGTTTTGCATTCCCTTAGCTCTCTCAACTAACATGGGTGGCTGACCAGGGGAAAAAGACAACGGAGGTCCTACAGGTCCCAAAGCATCCAACATACCCCCACTATTCAGTTCAGTGGTGTTAGGTTCAACAGTCAGAGCTCCAACAGACCCACCAGTTCCAGACCCAGCAGCTTCTTCCAACATCTCCTCCATCAGGTCGTCTGCGCAGCTGGCAGCATTCGCAGCGCTAACAGCGGCAGCAGCTCTTCGCTGGAGAGAAGACTCACGACGACTGGCAAGCTCCATGTCAGCTGAGATCCTTTGGGCTCATAACCCGTGGATCAACAACTGAAGCAGCAGCTGCTAGGCAAGACCTTTTTCGTCTCGCCCTTGAGCCAACTTTCGTTGGCTTGAGCCAATTTTGCAATGGCAGTCACGTGTCATCCTTGTGCAGTGGCCATGCTATGGTTCATGCATGCCACCACATGTCACTTTCTAAGTTTTTAAAATCCACAGCAGCTGGTGGAATGCTTCATGAATCGCAATTATAATTTACCAAGATCATGATATATCCAGGTATGCCTATATAATCCTATATATTTGTATTACTATTGTCGTTCCTAAGATCTCAAAAAAACGAATCCCACCTAAAAAGATGTAGTAATAAAAATACACTATATTTATATGGTGGATATAGTGAACATGAAAGTGGTTTTGATGTATAATCTGGTTATTTAACATAGCCATGGAAAATCATCATGCTATTAATAGGTAAACCATCTATAAATGGGCCATCTATACCATGGCTATGTTAAATAACCAGAGGGTAGATGATGATGATTTTTGACGGCCCCGCCTGTGCTTTGTCCACCAGTGGTTGGAAAGGATGGAGTACTGGGCGCTCCCAATACCTACAAGCCATGGTGGAATCAGCTGCAGTCCGGAGTCCCCAAGGGGATTTATGGAATTTACCCTCTGGTAAACTAACATAGCTGTGGAAAATCACGATTTTTACTATGTAAATCAACTATACATGACAATTTTCAATAGTTATTTTGATATAATGGGATAAAACAGTGTTATGGGGATAAGAAAACCATGTCCTCAGTCCTCCATACCACGTGCTGTGATTTGTTTCATGATAAGACAATACAACTAACAGAAATGGGTAAGTAGTGGGATGGCAAATAGCAAACAAAGAATGATTTTTTTCAGAGGATACCCTAAACAGTAATCAAACGTGGCGGGAGCATCCTATATTTAAAGGAGCTTTCAATGGAAAAGAAAACACATCTCCAATAGAATATTACCCTCTGGTAAACTAACATAACTATGGAAAATCACCATTTTTAATGGGTACATCCACTATTTCTATGGCCATTTTCAATAGATATTTTGACATAACCAAAGGGTATAGCTTTTCCCCAAATATCATGGATTATTCTACATCTACCCCCTATAAAAACCTAAGGATTGTTCCCCAATAGCGATAGCCCCGGAAATGTTCTCCGCCATCTTTGATTGCCCGATTGCCCGGGTAGCACATTGGGATTTAACCCGGAACCAATTCAAGAAGGGTGGTTTTGTGAAACACACATATATACAGGGCACCCGCAGCTTGGGTAAGACATTTCGCGCTGACGCTGACGACGCATTGTGACGACACATTGGCGATGCCCCCGGCCCCCCTGACGACGCATTGTGACGACACATTCCCTGACGACGCATTGCCCCCTGACGACGCATTACCCCCTGACGACGCATTGTGACGACACATTCCCTGACGACGCATTGCCCCCTGACCTCGCATTACCCCCTGACGACGCATTCTGACGACACATTCCCTGACGACGCATTGCCCCCTGACGACGCATTACCCCCTGACGACCTTGGTGTTGTTTAGAGGTTGCTTGGTTGCTTTTTTGTGGCTGTGGGTGGTGTTTCTTGTGTTTCCAGTTGTGGTTGTTGTTGTGGTGGTGGTTGCTGTGGTTGTTGTTGTTGTTGTTGTTGTTGTTGCTGTTGTTGTCGTCAGGTTCGTGGTTCGTAATTGTTAAGTTTGCTGCTGTTGTTGTTGTTGTTGTTGTTGTTGTTCTTGTTCTTGTTCTTGTTCTTGCTGTCTTTTTGTCTTGCTGTCTTGTTGTGGATTGTTGTGGATTGTTGTGTGGGGTTCGTAGCGCCCCAGGGGGGCTGCCACATCAAGCAAACGCCTTCTCTACTTCTAGCAGCAGGTGAGAAGAGTTGAGGTGAGGTGAGGCATCAGGTGAGAAGAGTCGAGAGGAGAAGAGATGAAAAGCGATGAAAAAGAATTGAGGTGAGGTGGAAAGAGATGAAAAAAATGAGAACAGTTGGGAAGAGTTGGGAGAAGAATTCACATGAACTGAGATGGTCTGAGAAGAGCTGCAAAGAGCTGAGAAGTGGTGGTCACAGTTGAAAAGGGCTGAGGCAAGATCAGAACGAATTTTCAGAGCAGAGTTTCGAAGACGTGAGGCTTCACTCCAACTCCTATAGGCAAACGTTGTCTTTCCTATAGTATAACAGTCTTTGCTGCTGGAAACTTCCGCCAGCCGCCTCGTGCGGGTTTTGCTTGTATTCTGTGATATTTCCAAATTTCAAAACAGAAGTGGGCATACAAAGAGACAGGAGTGCGAAACCAGATGTTGACAGTGTTGACCGCATATCTTTTATTTTTCACTATTTGTTTTGCATCTGTCAAGGTTGTGGTGCCAATTTTTCCGAGCTTGGAATTGGGAGTCTAGCATCGGTCGCAATCGTAGTTTTTGGTTCAGGCTCAGACCAGTGACAACATTACATAGCCCCGACTGTCATGGCTCGCAGACCTGAGTCGGAGCTGGACAAATTCCAGTGGTGGGTCAATGTGAACACCTCAGCCCGAGAAGCAGTTATCGCCTTAGACGATCTGGACGACCTTTTGGCAGAAAATCCTGGGCCGGAAGCTGACCTTGACTGGGCAGAGTGCAAGCGTGACCTGGAGAAAGCGAACAACAAGCTTCGTGCAGTGTGGGACCACATTTCACGCGTGTGCGAAGAGGAAAAAATGCGTTGGAAAACAAGCTTCGGCATTCTGATGCTGAGGCATCAGGAAACGCTGGGCGCACATGTGCACTTCTGGCAGAAGGCAACGCCGAACGCGGCCAAGCTGCTGTGGCTGAAACTGCCGTTCGCTTGACAGACAATGTTTCTGCTGCGGCAGATTCTGTCAATGTTGGACTCATCTCTGAGCACCCCCGAGTCCAATGAAGATGAAAGCTTGGGTTCACCTCGAGTTTTGCACCATTTGGGCCGTGCCATTCTTGACAAGGGGCCATAATGGTTGAGTTTTTAGAAATATATATGTGCATCGCGATGCCGCTGGCGGGATAAAACGCAGATTTTTTTTCGCTGTAATAGTCGTAAGCCAGGGCTTGAGTTAGGTTTGTGGCAGGTCATTTCATTATTAAGGTTTGAGCCTGCGGGCTTTTATGTCGCTTGAGAGCGGGCCTGCGGGTCAGTGCCTGCGGGCCAGGCCTGCGGGCCAAGGCATGCGTGCCGTAGCCTGCGGGCTGTTAGCTAATAAAAGGCAGCAGGCTCATTGACTTTAAAGGGGAATTATGACTTCTTAGCATGGTCTTGCATGTCCCGTGACAATCACTGCTTTCCTTTCGATTTGCCTGCACATTCTGGCTTATTGAAATTAGGGGGTGACAAATTAATGGCCACATGTTGAACACACAAGAATCAATCACGGATCATTATTCTTCACGCAATATTGGATTTAATATGGCATGGTTCATTTTATTTCAGTTTATCACAAGGCGCCATGGAGAAGCCAACGCTTCTTCCTTCGAAACTGGTTAGCCAGCACAGTCGGTCTTGCACTTTGAAGCCTGGCCGCTGCGGGTTGTGTCATTGGCACAAGGAGAAGGACAGCTGGCGGAAGCGCTTGCGGAATGCGAAATGGCTGCAAGTGACTTTGAAAGGGAAAGTGGCAAGGGTGGGCTGTGCAGCTTGTGCTGCTTTTGACGCTGGAGGCCCCTGGGCGAACTTTGACTTAAAGCCGACAGCTTTGAGACTGCACTGCTTGAAGCGGCATGAAGACTCCAAGGGTCACAAGTTGGCAGAGCAAAGCTTCCAGCATGGGACGAACTCGCGGGTAAATCTGTTGGCGCCGCCTCTGTCGGAGTTCCGGGACGCTTGGACAAAGATGCAACAAGGTGGAAGTTGCAGAGATGGAGGTGTGTCTTCCGACAAGAAGACCAACATACGCTGGTCCATTTCCGAGGCAATACTGGACATGAATCGTCGCTGGCTGAAAACAGCAAAAGTAATTGCTCTCTTGAGGGACGAGCGTGAGGGTCGTTCAGGGAGTGCTTGGCCTTAAGCCCACCGAAGGCTTTTCCGAAAGCTTGGCCAACTGCACTGTCGAAGCCATCCATGATTTGTGCCAGCCGATGCTCCACCCTCCCCGTTCCTGCCTTGACCCGGAGCTTCCAGCATACGATGACTCGGTCGAGAAGAGGATCCGCGAGCGGACTACCATTTTGGTAACCGATGCAGCTTCTGCGGAGCAGCTGGCGTCCAATGTCTTGCGAGGCAAACGCCCATCTGCACTGACAGGTGAATGTGAAAAGGAGCTGCCGCATGTTAAGATAGTTGGCCGTGACATTGCGCATGCGAGCACCCGCTTGCTGAAGAGACCTTTCCAAAAGCACGCTGAGCTAGAGGCTATAATGGATGAGTTCATCTCAGGAAAGGACAGCTTCTGTCAAAAGGTGCAGCATAGTCCACTGTACACCAAGTGGTGGAATGAAATTCTTGAAAAAGATGGGAAGGGTACAGAAGAAGGAGGAACTGGAGCCAGCATGGCTGCTGCGAAGCATCGCTTCGGAAGCTATGCTCATCCCCTGTCACGGGTGACAGAAAACATGAGGTGTGTGCTGACCCTCTTGCATAAGATTGCATTGCTTCGGGATTCGTCAGGCCGTTGGGCGTCCCAGATTCTGACACATTTTTCTGGCTACAAGGCTATCCTGCTTTCACTCTGTGCAGATGCCGCGGCAACGTCCATGGACTTCACTCGCTTCTGCGACGACGAGCAGAGCGACATCTCCCTTCTCAACACCAAAGCGCAGCAGTTTCTCTTGAGCACTCACGCATTGTTTCTTCAGGAAGAGGCATTCACTTTGCCTACCTTTGCAAAAGATTTGCTGGATTCTTGCACACGGGCCCCTTTCAGCATTCTCATTGCTGGACAGGCAAGAGAAGTGCGAGTTCGAGACTGTGACAAGCGTCGGGCTATGAACGTTATGAAAGAATTTTGGAAAGAATTTGCGTTTCACATCGGTCCATATTTCACATGAGAATTGAATATACATTGCATCAACATGTATTTTTTCAATGCATTTACGGATTATTACTAAAACTTTGTATGACATACTTGCTTTTTAATTAACCAGTCTACATCCTTCGTCGCCAGGAATGGGTGTGTGGGGCAGAAGCAACTCTGAAGGCCGAGTTTCCGTCGTGGCACCTCATTGGCGCTTTTGATGTCTTTCATCTCGGCGGGAGCATGAGTGACAGCGACAAGCGCACTGTAGAGAAGAGTCTGGCGCGTCTGGCGTGCGCCTTCGGGGTGAACCTGGCAGACCTGACGCAACAGTATGTTGCAATCCTGCCTATGGCCCAGGCAATGAAGAAGAAGACAGGACAAGACAATCGCACGGCGTGGGCGAACGTTTTGTTGCGCATACGAGATTCTCGTCTCAAGGGGAAATATCCTCAAGATGCTTTATATCGCGTCGCTGGGACAAGTAGTAGGAATAAGTTTTGGTTTAATTTTATGTTAGTCGATTTTTTACAATAGCCTTGACATCATTGGCAATCAATTGTTCATGACGATTCTTCATCAGGTCGTTTGCGCCTTCTTGGCATGGTCAGCGTCCAGTTCCGGCGTTGAGCAGCTCTTTTCAAAATTGAAACGATCACCAGTGGAATTGGCAAGTGCCCAGGCAGATACGGACCGAAGGGTCTGTGCTGCCATGGGGTGCACTCTGGACCAAGCGCAGGAAAAGGAAATGCTGCAGGAAGCTCGAGCCATCTACACACGGCTGAGCCAAAGCGGCAAGTCCCGGTCTTCTGAGGGCAGGAGGAAGCGGTTAGATTTCGGTCGCAAAGGTCCAATGAGACCGTCATCCCACAAGAACTGGATGCGAAAACAAAAGGAAGCTGTGGAGGAGGCTGCGGCTCAGTTGATTACGCCTCCCCGGAAGATTTCTTCACATGATTTGCCTGAAAGTTCTCGAAAAGAAGTGGAGCAACAGAGTCGATTGGAGAAGAAGCGAAAAGCTGAGGCTTATTCTGATGGCTTGCTTTTGAACTCCGAGGTGACAGAAGCAGTAGTTGCTGAGGCTCAGAAACAAAGGAAAGCAGACGCTTCCAATGACCGGGCTCGCAAGTCCAATTTTCACAGCAGGCACGCTGCAGTGGAAGCCAGCATCACCAAGAAGACTGTGGCATGGGCGCTGAAGGGATTGCCCAGCCCGGCTTTAAACACTGACGCGGCGAAGGATTGGACTAGCCCATTGAGACAGTGTGGTGTATCTTTGACAGGCGAACCTTGGCTGTACCTGGTTTTATTTAAAGCATTCACATTAATTTAAGCAGTCACATTTGTAAAGAATATCATCACAAAGATGTGGTTCTGTGGCTTCAGACACTAAGGATCTGAGGCAAGCGTCTCTTTTGATCATACCGGACATCAACACGATCCCTCGGAAGCATCAACTCATGGCAGCCTTGTTCGGTAAGGTCATTTTGTCTGCGGCAATTCTTGACGGTGGAAACGGAGTGAAACTGTCATACAGTGCTGGAAGTCAGCTTGGTGTGTTCGTTTACGTGACTGATGGATTTCGAAATCAAGAGCCTGGCTTGACCATGATTTTGCGCGAAGCGTGCGCTCATGGGTGGAAGGCTGTGACAATGAATGACTTGCAGGCTCGGAGCAAAGGGCCCAAGAATTCCTGCTTGCTCTTACGGGCAAAAGGGGAGGCACTGAATCTGGGCAAGTCCAGGATTCAGTGTCTTGATGGCAATGAGCTAGTTGCCTGGGCTGCTCAAAAATTTGTGGATGTCAAGTCAAGTGCCTGGATCAGCACTGGCACAGCTTGCGGGGGACTTTGACTTCGCCTGGCAAGACCCTGGCGGGAGACAATTTGTCATTCCAAAACCTGCTGGTATGGGGTATTAGTCCGGCGGGAAAAAAGATTTCGACAGTACTGATCATTGTTGCAAGTTTGCATATTCCTTTTTAATTTTCTGGGGATGCCTAAATCCACACACTCTGCGCGCTTGCCATTGCTAAACCCTAAATCCACAAAGCTCGGCGCTGGCTAAACCCTAATTTTTTTCTCTTGGAAGCCTGTACCAAAAACTTGAATTCGGCGCGCGAACCGCGCGCCTAGCCTAGGCGCCTATTGAAATATATCAATAGCATTTACAGGAAAAGAATTTAATTCAGATTTCTTGCAGGGATACATTTTTCTCTTGGAAGCCTGTACCAAAAACTTGAATTAGGCGCGCAAACCGCGCGCCTAGCCTAGGCGCGCCTAGGCGCCT